GTGTAGCTTTGTGCATAACTACAAACAAGCAACTATTCCATGAATACGCCACGATTTTATTTCAAGAATGATCTAAATTTTGATTGGCTTACAAAGGAATTTACTGACTGCCTCGACTGCACTATTCTGCTTCTTTGTTGGTCAAGCATGATTTCGCAGAATTTAATTATGTCAGCTAGATATGAAATGTGAGGTTAGGGTATACTATGGGGTGGGGAGTGAGAGTACTTGCCCCGCCATTTTTGACGGGCTATACGCTAGACACATATAAATTTGACACCTGATCATAGGTGAAATATTTAAAAGAACATTAACCAACTACCATTGTTCATCACAACCAAACGGTAAGGGAACAACAAATAATCAAATGTTTGTCAGTCAATATCTTAAAGTAAATGATAACATATACGATTATGCTAAGACTCGTTCAAAGAGTTTAATCAAATGCAAATGGTGGGGGTTTTGAAACAGATAGGTTATTAAACATTCACAACAAAAATTAGTGAAAGACACGCAGCACGTAAGTATTACTTTAGGTAAGGTTGTGGCGATCGGATAATTTCTATAATTACTAACCTATGTCTAATTACTAAATATAGTAAAACCAGGATCGAATCCTGGTTCCTGCCATCACACACAGACCTTTTACAGCTTCCCTGGAGACGGCAACAGTATAACAGCCGAGACATAGGTTATAAATTAATTAGTAATTAGTTTATTTTAATAATAAGATAGTAACTAATTAATAATTGGACTTAAGTGATCGTGTAACCATGACAACGACAAGAGTACGTGTTTGAAAACCGAATATAGACGTATAAGACGAAAGTACGTATGTGTTCAAGTGACTAGTGATATTCATTCAGCACTTGAGAAATGATTTATATACGTACTAACACGCACACACACACCAGGCTAGATGTTTGATTGGCCAATAACAGACGTACAACATGTGGTTAGCTACTTCAATATCTAGTAAAAGACATAAAGCAAAATGCTAAGTACTTTAATTTACAAATTAGCAACAAAATTAATTGTTGAACTGGAAATTACTTTAAGAATTATGATTTTATGTTATTTAGATTAAATAAAATAGATAAAAACACTTCATCTTTATTAAATTGACGTTTTGAAAACATAAAAATATTAATTCGTCCACACACATATATATACACGCAATAATTAATTGTCTAAACGAACTTAAGTGACTTATATACTATTATCTTTGTAGCTTAGCTTATTCAAATTGATTGGATGATTTTGTCATCTGATAACCAGCGTGTCTCTTCACTCTATGAAATAATTGCTATGATCATACTTCAAAAAATGCAGGAATCGAATACTTTCCAGCCCTATTTACATAATGTTTGAAGCTATTATTGCTTTTGCAGCCATATGGATGATTTAATGTTTTGTTTGGAAGTTTACCGCAGCTGTAATGTAAAGTAGTGTATGATTCAATATCAGCAAGTTGTGCAGTTCTAAAATACTCTATCCCATGCTTTTGCTACACTTCAGTTGTGGACTCCTACTGTCTGATTTGAACGAATGCTCTCGTTACTCTCTTTCTCTTCCTCCCCCGAATGTTCTTGTGATTAACAACTGAAATTCTCTGGACACAGAGGTACTAATGAGAAAAATACTCTGGATCTAATTACTCTCTTTCCCTTCCTCCCTCGTATGTTCTTGTGATTAACAACTGAAATTCTCTGGACACAGAGGTACTAATGAGAAAAATATACTCTGGATCTATTTAAATTCGCGATTTATAACTTTACAAGGAGGAAGTCACGAAATAAATATAAGAATTTTCTTGTTCTTTTGCAAAGTGTAGTGAACTGAATCACAATTAAAAGAACTCTTTAACCAGAGCGTTTTAATAACTCATACCATCCTTTCGAAATTTGCTTATTGGATTCCTTTAAAAGTTCCATCTTTATTTTATTTTTTCGTCTTTCTGTTCTTCAAGCTCCATAGCCTTATTAAAACTGATACTTTTCTAATAGCATGAAGCTACTCTATAAGATTCAATTCTACTGATGATGAACTTAAAGAATTTTAACTGTTTTTTACTGTAATTAACGCTTTATCCAGAGGTATCACTACCAACAAAACTGACACTCAAAGCACTCACCCCATTCTGTTTCAATATAGACTCTTCTTTGTCAGACTCATCCATCAAGACAACAGAGGTAAATGTGATGACGAAGATACCGTTCATCAGCAGGGCCAAAAAGAGATGCTTGTGCATCGTGATTCGGTGTACCTGAAGTTGCCTAGATGTACCCAACAAACAAAATCACGTTGGAGCATTTAGACTGTTTCGAAACGTCGTTGAAACTTTACTTCTTTTTACAGCAATGCGATGAAAGTTTTCAGTTTACCTGATACGTAAAACTCTTGTTGGGAAGGTCAAAGTTGCGTTTTTTCAACATAAATTTCTTTAATTCACTTTCTATGTTCCTTATTTAATGCTCTAGATTTATTATATATATTGTAGTTTCAGTATTTTGAATAGCTCTTTGCTTTAGAAAGTACTAGATAACCGTATTGTAATTCTTATATTCTCCCTTTTTACACTTCGGGAGTTTAAAAAATTCACAAAAGTGGCCTGGTCTCCTTCGAGTAACGTTAAATTATGGAACACGCTGATTTTGTTATTACTGGTTTAATTAAGTCAATAAAAACGACAAAAAACAATTACTTGAAAACATTTACAGAACAAACACGTCTGCAATGATTAAGTTATGTTCATGTCAAGAGTGTATTGGAAGACAAACAGAAATTATTACCAAGTTAAACTGTAGACAGACTGATTGTCTAATCAACGATGTAACAGAATGTTTAGAAATGAAAAGTCTGATACCTCCAGACTTGTAAAAGAATTTGAAATCCAGCAAATATGTGACGAGGTTTTGAAAGTTTGTATTTACGTTAAATATTACGAATACCCGTATACTTAGATACGTAAGGATAAAAAAAAACATCTTATTTCCTCTCAAAATAAACATGTTACTGTGAAATGAGATGTAAGTTCCTGATGAGTTATTGAAGGCTTTTGTGTAAAATGAATTTATATCAATAATATGCATGTATTATATAAGCCATTTAATGTGTTCAAACAAATTCATAGATAAATAAAAAAAACATGTTTTTATAAACATATTTACTTAACAGAGATTCTCAATTTCAATCTTTGAACAGAGCCGTTTAAGCATTTGTTTAATAACAAATAAAAGCTTGGAATGGTATGTTCTTTCATTGGGGGTGTGTCTGTGAGCCAGACAAGTTTCGAAGAATTCCACTCCTCATCAGTGACCCTGGACACTACCATCAATGAAACTTCACAGACACA